TTTCTTCTTTTTTTTCTGGCTTAGAGCGGAGAAGTTGACGAGTTAACTGAAAGAAACTAAACTGAAAGAATTGCCCCAGCTCCCCAATCTCGCCAACTTTTTCTCTGGCAGCTGCAATTGATTTTCACTTGGATTTCGGATTTCTTTTTCTCCAACATTTTGGAGATCTCTCGAGAGCGGCGAAGAAGAGTGCCATAGACTTGCCCCGTTTTCCTTGCCTGTCGCTCACTTTAGTGTTTGGCATTGATGTTTTTCTTTGTTTTTTTAGCTGGGAAAGGGAGCGAGGGAGTGGGTTAATCGGGCGAGCGGGGGTTAAGCCGAGGGTCTCCTCGTCACACTCTGATATTTGTCGCTGTTTCGGCTGCCGTGTTTTGGGTTTTTGGCAAATTGCTTTGGAGTTGGAGCGTAGGTGCCTTGCGAATTTGGCCAATTCAGTGATTTTTTTTCTTTTTCCTCTTCTGCATAATTGAATTTGTTTGTTTTCGAGGTCATCGAAAAAGCCTGAAACTGAACTTTACCGCTTTGCGAAATCGATCGTTGGTTTTGTCTCGATTTGCCGATCTTAGATCGCTGCAGTTGTCAATCAAAAAGTCAAATTCCAAGCTGTCAAAGGTGCGCAATTTGTCTCTCAACTGCAATTGAGATGAAAAGCGAATGTGACATGGTCAGTGCTGGCAGCGCTGCTGGAAAATGCAATAAAGCGGCCGAGAATGCAAGGGGATCGGATTGAATGGGAATTGCGCATACGCCGCGTGTGTCTATCCACAACTGATAGATCAGATAGAGCCGGTAATAAGCCGGTGGTTGGTTGCATGGCCACAACAAACGACAATCGCCAATCGCCCCATTGACAGTGCAGGAATGCCGCCCCGAATATGACAATCGCGAATAACGTTAACTGTATCTCGGACTTGAGGTATTAACCCATTGGAAACTTGCAATAAGAGAGGGTATAAGATATGAGGATACTAGTTAAGGAAGATAAGTCCTTTTTCCTATGATTTAAAATTCTTTTAATTTAATTATAAAAACACTTTTTCATTAGTAAATATGATTATCTTTAAAAGAAATCCTTAAATATTAAATTTTATACTTTAAAACGTTGTAGAATTCAAAGTATCCTCTATTATTCCTCCACTTAATTCAACTGATTTGTTACAATTAATCAAGTACCTTTTACTTTTCCCTAAATTAATTCAATTTTCAACTCAATCCCAAAAAGATGACTTGATCCTTGAGCCCAAATAGTACTAATTCACTCACTTCCCACAGCCACAATAATTCTCCAGGGGGTTAATGGTTGTTGCTCCTGACAGTTTACAAGTTATTCAAACGCAAATGTTTAACAATAAGCAAATAATTCTCGTTGCACATGTCACACAAATCAAAGAGCCGGCCCAAAATGTGGCCAACTCCCGAAGGGGCCAACTCCATTTCGGCCAAACTCCATTCAATTGCTATGCAAATCAAAGCTAGCTGCGTAATGAGCCGCAACCGTAACCGAATCGGAATCCAAAATCGAAAACCCAAAACCCGAAAGCGAAGGGGGAATCGCTTGGGGTTCGTAACCGAGAGCATAATACATACATATGGTATGTGTGTGCCCCGCAGTTTGCCACTTGACTTACATGTGTTTGGCGCTGATTGCTTTAATGGGTCACCACTGTACTAGTTGGGACAGATGTGTGTGCTAACGGTAAACTGGTTTCAATGGATCGCACAACAACACCCTGTACAAACACAGGCATAAGACAGAGTACACTTAGAAAATTTGACATTTTTGTATAGGAAATTATTTTAAGGTTTAAATTATTGTTAAAAAAGAGTTTTTTATATTACAAAAAATATTTAAAAATTATTCAATCATTTTAAATGTTAAACAGGATTTTTAAATCTTTTTTGTAATATTTTTTCAAGTCTATTTCTAACACACAATCTGACAAATGCCAATTGCCCAATGTCTCTACCAAGCTGACCCAAGCCTCGCTCGTCGATGGGCTTTCATGACATATTAGCAAAGGTTTTGGCTGCTGCCTGCCATTTATGTTATAACTGCAATGGCCGTTGATTTCATTTAGGGCCAGGCCAAGCTAATCGCCGGGCCTTTGCTGCCAAGTTTTTACAGTTGTTGCCACTCAGCAGCGGCCGTTGGTAGTTGCAACATCCATTGCCGTGTGTCACGATCCTGAAGGCAAAGAAATCAAACGAAATAAAAGTCGTCGCGGGAGCATATGTGAGGAAAACCCAACAGAAAAAAATAGATAAATATTGGGAGTAGAGGAAATACTCTTAAATTAAATAATTAAATTATAAACTAATTTAAAAATAGTACTGTATATTCATTTAAGGAATATGTGTAGAAGAAGAAGAAACTATAATATATTTTCTTTTATAATATATTTGTATTTCATTTTATTTAAAGTTAATTTAAATATATTTTCAAATAAATTCAATAAATTCTAGACAAATTTAACATTTTATCCTTTGAAAATATATTTAAAATTAACTTCAAATAAAATATTCCGAAAATATGTTTAAATTAACTTCTTAACATACAATATTAACTTACAATTTTTCCAGAAAAAATCCTCCGTTAACCTTTTATAAAAAAATTGTACCATGTATAAATGCCCCCATTTAAGGGTATCGGAAAAGCTCAGTCAAATCTTTGGAAGGTGCCATGCGGAGTTATGGTTATGTGAACAAGCAACAACAATAACATGAGGCTATGCAACTTGCAACTGGCAACAGCAACAAATATCGCATTGAAAATCGCTGCAAATGAGGCAGCGTGAAAAATGCGCGACTGTCGAAATTGTTTCTGGAAATAAGAAAAAAAAATACACAAAAATATCAACCAAGTAGCAACGGCAGCTGCCCAAAAGGGGGTTAGTGGGGGCGAGAGGGTAAACACTTGCAATCGGTTGAGCATTCACATGGGAAAACGACGGGCAGCAGTCAACAGTCAGCAGGTTGCCGAGCCCAGCAGCAGCAGCAGCAGCAATATCTACTGCAACTGCAACTGCAACATTTTGACAGCTCTTGCTGGAATTGCAACTTTATTTCACTTTTCGTCCAGCAACTATTTTCAACAATATTTTTCCACCAAATGTCAGACCGGCCAAATGTGACATAAGAGAAGGGACAGTCAGGGGTCATAAGGAAGAGTTTTGGGATTTTTTAAGGGGGTTTCAGGGTTTACAACAAAAGTAAGTAATGATTTGTTTAACAAAAGTAATACGACTTTATTTTAATAGAATTAATTACAGTTAAATTAATCCTCCTCACTCTTATCTTAAAAGATTGTCAAACTTCCTACTTGTTGCACCTGTCTTGTCCATCCATATCGGACCCCCAATAGAGTTATAACTGAATGAAAATGAATGACCATTAATTTATCTACCGTTCAAGCCAGTCTTTTCCGCCTCAAGTCTCAAAAAAGAGTATGAAATTATTTAAAAATCATTTGCCAATGGCAATATGTTGCATGCGTGGTCTATTTAGACATGAAGCAGGCTAGCAAAGTCTTTGCTGGACATATTTGTCATGCGTGGCCAAAATATATTCCCACGTTCAGTTTTTGTGTTTGGGGAATTTGATCTTTTCTTTTATCTTTTTCGTAGCTTTTTGCTTAATTGAATTCATTTTGGCCGAGTGAAAATGTAAAGAGATAAAATGGTATAAAGCAATATGTGAACTAGAGCCAGGCCGAGTTGGTGAAACCATTTATCATTATTGGCAGAGATCGTTGGCCATATTTAGTCGTATTTATTGGCAAAACAAATTGATTAATTGATTTGGCATTTGCATGCGGCTCTCGTCTTAATGAGAACTTGACGTCTCATTGAGAACTGTTGCCCCCAGTTTCATTCCAGATGATCGATGAATGAATGCAAAAGGTGCTGGAACGAACGAATGAATGAATGAATGTGCAGGGAATGTTGAGAAAAAAACAACAGGAGACTGTGCACTGGAAGAAATAATAAAATAATATATCAAAAGGTCAACAAAGTAATAAATAAGTCTATAGTAATTGGTTTCTTAATCATTATATTTAATAATTGAGTTTCTTAGACTTTTCTCTTTTACTTTCTTCAAATACCTATCTTGATTTTTCTCTCAGTGGTTTCTGGAGTGACCTTATCTGAATCGCCTGCGTAACGTCTCGACTTGGTAGCCCAGAAATCGATGTCAGGGACAGTTGAAAACGCACGAACCTGGCCTGCCTGTCTGTCCTCTCACCTGCACTCGCTCTCACCTGCGATCTGAACTCTGCGCACTCATTAATCATGGCTTTGGGTTGGAGTGCTCACAGAGAGAGAGAGTGCCAAAGGCAGATGGTTTGGCTTACGATCAGGGGGAAAAACTCTGTTCAAGTGCGCTCGAAGCGCCAAAAAATGAGTTAAAAAATATGCTGGTTGCTTGCTTATTTGTTTGTTGGCTATGTTTTTGATTACATAATCCAAACAAATCACGAGAAAGTATAACGAATTTTGATTGAAGTCGCTGATGAGATACTCTAATAGATAATAGAATACCTGATTTTCAGAAATAAATAATATTGTTAATAGAATACTCAAAATGTATACAATATATTGTACTAAAATTCATAAAAAATATATATTAATATTATTAAACTCCCTATTTATATTATATACACCTCTCTTTAATGTTAAAACGTATCTCCAACTCCATTTACCCTTCCACAAAATCCATTTTCCAACTGTTTCGATCAGCAACTATAGCCTTCAATTGTGGTTAGGGGAGAGTCTTTCGACATAAACCTACCGGAGGCTTTCGCCGGAGCCACTCGAGCCTTGTGTGTTAATGTCTCTAACTGGCCCGGGGGTGTCCGTGGTCCGTGGTGCACTGCAGCCATTGCGTTGGCTTCCGGACAAGGCCGCTTTTTGAGTTTTGTGGGGGATTTGCTCTATAAAAGTGAAGCCACGACCTGGCAAAAGCATCAGTTCGACGCTTTGGCTCATCTCCATCAGGTCAACATGAAAATCTTCGTCTGTTTGCTGGCTCTGGGAGCTGTGGCCCATGCAGGATTCATTGGCGGAGCAGGTGGCGGCGGCGGAGGCTATGGCGGTGGTGGTGGTGGTGGCGGCGGCTACGGCGGTGGATCTCCCCATGGTGGCGGCGGCGATGGAGGCTACAGCTATGGTGGAGGCTCTGATCACGGATCCGATCATCATCATGGCAGCGGTGGTGGCTCCCCGCCCGTCAAAATCATCAAAGTCATCCACGAATCCGCTCCAGCTGGTGGTGCAGGAGGCTGGCAATCAGGAGGAGGCGGTGGCGCTGGAGGCTGGCAATCAGGAGGAGGCGGTGGCGCTGGAGGCTGGCAATCTGGAGGAGGCGGTGGCTACGGAGGTGGCGGTTCCCATGGCAGCGGTGGCGCCCAGGAGGTCAAAATCATCAAGATCATCTCACAGCAGGGTTCGGCTGGCGGTCATGGAGGCGGCTATGGTGGCTCATCCGGCGGCGGTGGATATGGTGGCTCATCTGGTGGCGGTTGGTCCTCTGGTGGCTCATCCGGCGGTGGCTGGTCAGCTGGAGGCGGTGCTGCTGATGCCCCCACGGCTGTGAAGATCATCAAAATCATCTCGGAATCGGACTCTGGTGCTGGTGACTCTGGCGGTTGGTCCTCGGGCGGTGCTCCCAGCGGTGGCTGGTCCTCGGGTGGAGCTTCCAGCGGTGGTTGGTCCTCGGGTGGAGCTTCCAGCGGCGGCTGGTCACCTCAGGGCGGTGCCGGCAGCTGGTAATTGTGATATTTCAACCCATACCCATCCCTCCATTATTGTCATTGTCCACATCTCCATTTCCATTCTTTGTTAAAGCTCCATTCCACCATATTTGTTGAATAAAAACTTTTCTGTTTGATCATTTCCCAAAAAAAGAAGTGTTTAATTTGCAAAAAAAAAAGGAGCAGCAACCCAAGAAATCCTTTTACAACTTTTCAATTTAAAACAGAAAACTCTGGAAGAAAAATACATAGAAAAATGCCCAACCATTTTTCCTCCCTGCTCTCCTTTTTTTTCCTCTAAGAAGGCACACTTAAGCGTTAAGTAATAAAATGCAAGCAAAGCTGGGCGAAAAAAAAGGAGCAGCCGAGAAGGGACTGGGGAAAAAAAAAGGAAAACTGTCGGAAAATATGTAAAATATCACTTTTGACTAGCCGGGAAAAGTCTAGCCACCCCCAAGGAGCCAGTTTTCGCGCTGCGGGTGGTGGCAAAAGTGGGCGTGAACAGAGGGTTGGGTCGGGATTCATTGGGTTGCATGTATAAAAATATATATTTTCCATATAAATCTAACAAAGGACGTGTTCGGGTTACTTGATTAGGGCCAGGCCAAGGAGTGGGCAAAACATTTTCCTCCATTCGCGTTGCTTTTCTTTTTTTTTCATCCTTTTTTATTTTCTGGGTGGCAGTATGGAGTGCCTACGAAAAGGATAAAAGACAGGCTGGGTTTCTTTTCGGTTCTCTTGGAACATTTACACAAAGAAAGAACTTTATATACACACACCAATAAAGAAAAGTGAGCAATTTGTTGCTGGAGATATGATAGGTTTGATTTTTTGTATTGATTTATTTCCACACAAAGGGCAAGTGTATATATATATTTATTTTGTTTGCTTTTGGGCATTTTCCATTGAGGGAATTGCGCAATTTTTTTGGCCAAGAAGAATTATAAAAACAATCATTAAACATATTTATTCTCTCCCACTCAATAGCCATCAACTTGTTGCCGGGCATTGTAAACAAAACAAACATTTGGCGGAACATTCCAAGGGGATACACACACATTACTTAATATTCATTCGGGGATCCGAAAAAGCGAAACGGCAGCTCTAAACAAATACTGAAATGAAATTATTTTTATGAGTTAAATGGAAGAATATTTTCCATTGAATTGCAAACAGTTTTATTTTTGGGATTTATTTTTGTAAAACTGATGAGGGTATTTCAAATATGACTAGAAGTTTGTTGTAAATATATATAATATATATTTAAAAGGTTGAAGGAAAATTGTTAAAATGGGATACAAATTAAAACTCCAGTAGAATAACTCAGAAAAGTATAAAAATATTAAGAAAATCAACTTACAAATTATTCCAAAATTTGTAAATTTAATTAATAAATAATTTCCATTTAAATTTTAGTATTAAATCTTATATATTCTTCACAAAAACCATCTTTTCTTACAAAAAATACCTCAAAATTTAATAACAAAGAGTATCTCCTTCTTTTGTTCTTTTTTCACTGCCTTGATTATATATTTGTCTTGGTGCTTCTTTCATAAAAAAAAAAAAAATTTTGTTATTATTTTAATTTTACTTATTGACTGATTGCTGGCATTGTTGTTGCCGGAGCTTCCAGCACGTGCAACGGGGGCCAAAAAAGTGGAAAATTGCGTGTTTGCCAAAGAACAACAATGCGCGGGTGGAAAATCGGCGTAGTGTCGTGGATGGAATCCGTCGTCTGACTGTCTGATATGTCCCCCCTTTTGTCAGCTGCAGAGTCAACTGCCTTTCGCCTCTCGTCTGTGTTGACTGAATCGCTTTTCAAGTGTGTTTACTGTGGGCGCGTGTGCATTGAATCCCGCCGAATCACAGAATCACAGAATCAGGAACAGAAACATCAACAAACAAATGCAGAAAACACAATCAATGAGGCAAAAGCAAACAGTTTAAGCGCCCCTCGGAAGTCGTTATTAAGAATTTCTGGATGAAGGGACCACACCTCGAACCTCAACCAAAAGTAATTTCGATTCTGGCTGATATAGTACTATATCAGTTCGATATAAAAGGGATGAATAAGCTCTAACGTTTCTCATTTGATTGAGTTCATAAAAAAAATACTTGACGGAGGTTGACAGATCAACGGCTGCCGACCAAAGAAATCTTATATTTATTCATCTAACGAATTCTGAAATGCAATGATTAAGTATTTCAATTAAAATGTGAGAGTTCTGAAAAATAATTAAGGTTTCTTGGGAGTTATTGTTCAAGGAATTGACAAGTTTTTAGGATTACAAAATTCTGAAAAGTCAGAACTAAAATATTTTTAGTTAGGAATTATATTAAATATTTTAGTTTACCAACAATATACCTTTTATAAGATGTTATTTACTCTCCAAAAATACATTTACTATTTTTATTAAATCAATTTAAAGCCTAAAAGGATTATTTCATAGCTGAAAGGTGGTTGAAAAACCCCTGAAAATTGCTTGCAAATCCCCTTTCTCCATCGTAGTGTTATAATAACATCTAGCAAATTGACCATCCATCACATCCCCTTTTTCAATTGCCGTGATTTGTTATTGTCTACTTGGTTAGTTGAGTTTGGAAATTGGTTTGATTTACTCAACTGATGGGGTGTTGTCCCCCCGTCCTCTCAGGAGTCTGTCGTCTGGGCTAAAAGGACTAGAATGGCCCACTATTTTCTCTTGTCTTCTGCCCGTCCCCGTCCCCCTTGGGCTGGCTGATTTTCGTCGTCTGGTCGACGACACCGTCACCATTACCATCAACCGGATCGTCGCCGAACTCTTGGGTCTTCCAGACGTGCGCGCCGCCGTTGTCGCCATTAACTGTCCCGGCGACGCCTCCACAGCCACAGTCAGTACCAGGGCCCAGTGCCAGTGGCAGTGCCACCCATCAGCAACCATTGCCATCACAAGTTGTCGTCTCATCGATTTCCCCTCCTGCCTCACGATAACCCATTTCGCCTGTCGCCTTTGTTGGCTGCCAAAACACAGAAACAGAAAAGGCAACGAAATCGTTATATGGCCAAGAGAGAGAGAGAAAAGATTTGGCTAACAAAAAAAATAATAATAATAAGAAGAAAAGAAAAATAAAGAACACGAAAAGTGCATGGCAATACAAAGGCAAACAAACAAATATTATTACTAATTCATTCGAGAATATTTTTCATTGCACCCTTTTTTGTTTCTTTACAAAATCGACTTTGCAAGCTTCTTTTTGGTTCCATTCATAGTCACTCTTTCTGGGCAAGGATATTTTTTGGGGTATTTATTTGGAAGTTGCCAAGAAATTTGGGGAATTTATAAGGGATTAAGGGTGTACTTAAATATATTTTTTAAATATTTAAAATTGTATAATAATTATTATAATAACAAGAAAGCAGTATTTATTAAGAACGAATTCTAAAGCCTCATAGTGTCTTCTTTCTTTGTAATTTATATTTCTATAAAAATTATTTATAAAGAGTATCCTTTAGCCATTTTCACCTGAGTGTATCGGTTATCGTTAAATGTTTTCAGGTGCGCACTTAGTGATTTCTGCTGCGTGCCACCGTCCACCTCCCCCATCCTCCAACAAAGTACTCATCAGTGTCTGGGCCAGTCATAAGTAATTTATCAAGATACAAAATTGCAGTTACCCGGCGACAACCGTCGCCGTCTGTCAATGCCAATCAGTGGCGGGGCGGTGTGAAGTATGAGTGAATGTGAATGTGAATGCGAACGTGAATGAGTGCCGAGCGTGAATGATATTCGAGGCATTTGTCAGGTGGACGGGCACTCAAGTGATGCCAAATGTCAGTCAACAATTTCGGTTTTTGGGTGGTGTTGCAGGGAATGACCAAAAGGCAAGCAGGATGGCCCATAATTGGCCAACTGTGATTGCTATCTATTTCATTCGATATATCGGTCAGCTTGGATGGGTGTGGAAAATCGGGTTCGGTGTCAATTTAATCGAAGTCAAGGGGAAATGATTGAGGGGAGGAAGGTGTGACTTATGGACATCCTGTGATTTATTGCTTATACCTGAAATTTGATATCATTGAGCAAGTTGAGGGTGTCACCTTTTTTTTTTGGGTTTAGATTATCTCTTAGGAAATTGAGTTTGAAGTTTGGGTTTAAATTAGGGTTTTAGGGGAAATATTCGATGGGGAATTGGGTATTAAATGGGTTACGTATAACTGAGTTTTAAAAATTCGAAAAATTCTTAAAAATGTCATTTAATTTCTTAAGATATATTTTAAGGACTTTAAGTACTCTAGTGATCTCTCAGATATTATAAAAACATGATGTTTTCTCACTTAGTAATTTGCTTAGATTCATTTAATAATTTTCTTTTAATAAACAATTCCCTTCCTAGTGAAAGTCTTTTCCATTTCAAATTGTTCCTCTTCAAGTTATTATCCTCTCGAGACTTCCAACAAGTCACAGTTTCCAACAAGTAATTTGGGCCACACGGAAAATTCTTCACATTCATCTTATGGTAATTCACAGAATCCAAGCAGTGGCATCCTTTTCTCTGTGTCCTTTTTCCCACTCAATTACAATGCAAACTATCAGCAATAAAAGCAAATTTCCATCACCCAAAGGAAGAAGAATTTTCCACAGACGCATGTGTGTGTGTGTGTGTGTGAGCCAGAGAATTGTAATAATTTTTGTGTGCTTTATTTTGTATGTGGGTCATGTCCTTATGAAATATTCAAATGTCCTGAATTACGTATTTATGCCATTTCCACTCTTTTATTGTTCGGCCTTCCATTTCCCCAAGCAAATCCTTTCGCAACACCAACAAAAACAACACGAAAATCCAATTGTAAATGCGTAAATGTGAGCGTGTGTGTGTGCTGGGAGTTCGGAAGGGTGTTTGTGTTTCAATTCCGTTATTGAAAATTGACCAAATATGTGTGTGAAAGCAGAAGAAGGACATGCAAAGTGATTCCCCTGCTTGCTTTTTTATTTTCTTTTATTTTGGGTGGGAAATGGTGGGAAATCGAGGGGAAAGAGAAAGGGAAATGGAAATGGACTCGGATGAAGGCAACAAAGCGACAATGACAGC